GACGAAAAACCCCTCGCGCAAGACTTTACCAGGCCGAAAGAAGATTTTTCATGTGGTAGAAAGTCTCCTCAGGACTGCAGTATGTGACGCTTGATGGCAGGACAGTTCGGTCACACTCATTCGGGGAAAGTATCATGGTGCGTTATACTCGCATGTCCCAGACCTCTTGATCCTGACGCGATTTTGATAGGGTCAACTTCAAGTGGTCATAATGCGTCACCAGGTTCACAAAGAAAAGCGGCGTAGGTCTCTACCTGTCCCTACTGCTCCATTTCATACTTAGATCTTACGATAGTGCATCAGTTGATGCTCCTCCCAAAAATCCACTTGACCATGCGCATCTCATGGGCGGAGGCCTTGAGGAACGGAGTCATCCCGCTTTATCACCATGCTGCAACTCTACTATAGGGTCATGATGGTGTGCTTAGGTCTCGATTTTCGCGGTTGCAAGTTGACTTTGGAAGTAATATCTGCCTGGCGAAGCTTTCGGCCCTCTTTCCCGAAATTTCTCCCGTTCATCCCTCCCGGTCCGACATTGGCCTTCGATGTCACTGCAAAACTTTTTATCCCAGAACACGAGACAAGAGCACCAGACGCGACGAGCGTACATAAAAACGTCTGTAACATACGGTTGCGCCTTGCAAACGCCAAGTCATGATTTTGTGGGTTTCTTTAATACTCTCGCTTCCTTACTGTGCTCTTGCGATAGGGCAAGTCGGTTGCGTGGCGTTCGATCCTTCCACATCCGGCTCTCTTTTCTCCGTCGTCAGCAACGGGCAGGCAGCTCCGATCTATCTATCTCCCAATGATTGGCCAGGAGTTCATCGCGCCGCGCTCGACTTTGCTTCCGATGTTGAGGCTATCACTGGAGTCAAACCTCAGACGGTGAATGTCTCCTCAACTGACATGCAGAACACAACTTTCCGGCCTATCATCGTCGGCACGTTGGGGAAGTCGGCTCTGATTGATGCAATAGTCAATACGACAAAACTGGATGTATCACCTATCACTGGGCTATGGGAATCCTTCATGTCAAAGGAAGTGGCCAATCCCCTTCCCGGTGTGGACAGCGCATATGTCATCATTGGGTCTGATAAGAGGGGAACAATTTATGCGCTGTATGATCACTCGGAGCAGTTTGGTGGGTCAATTTTATACGCAGTCTCACACTGGAATACTAACTTCTCCGCATCGGACTTTTAGGCCAGTCTCCCTGGTTTTGGTGTGTCAACTGTAGAGACCACTCATTACTTCGCTAATTCACATACCTCAGGTGGGCAGATGTTCCTGCGACTAAGCAGGAGGAGCTATATGTGACATCTGAGGGCTGCTCGCACGGACCGCCTACTGTTAAGTATCGTGGTATCTTCTTGAATGATGAACAACCCGCGTTACAGGTAATGTTTAATTCTGTTCTGTGGTGTATTTGGCATTAACAATAACCCGAAAGAATTGGGCTGCTGCGAAGTTCACCAATGGCACCGGATCACGCTACTTGAACTCCCCCTTTAATCATCTCTTTTACACGGAAATGTGGGTATCTCGATACCATTCAATGGACCGCCGTCTCAGACGCCGAGATTAGATTCAAACTTATCCTCCGTCTAAAGGGTAATTACTTGTGGCCTGGTGTGTAAACGCCGTTGCTTTAACCTGACAGCAATTGACGTGTTTCCGTTCAACTAGCGGTATGGGGAAGGTCAGCATAGCCTTGAAGCAGTTCTGTAAGCCAATTGGTGACACCGGGTGCTCCGTCCTTTAGCGCATTCAACATTGACGATGACCTGAATCAGCCCCTGGCTGATTGGTATGGAGTTGTAATGGGAACAAGGTGAATCTATTCCATTCGCTTATGTGTATTCACTAACGAATACAATTTCTCTCAGTCATCACGAGCCTATGATGCGAGGCACCCCCAATGAATGGAACATCTACGGTTCTGGACCATGGGACTACACCACGAACAAAGACAACATCTACAAGTATTGGGTCGAGGGTACCGAGCGTGCTAAGCCCTTCGAGTCTATCTTTACCGTGGGCATGAGAGGTGCTGGCGACCGTAAGTTATTTCCTGGTTGTTATTATCGCACCTCACGAAAGCTGTATAGTTCCTTTATCGGACCAGGAGAACATCCCATTATTGGAAGGAGTCATCAATGACCAGCAACAAATTCTCAAAGACGTATTCAATGGAACCAATGTGGCGGATATCCCTCAAGTTTGGGCGTTATGTATGCTTCCCACATGTTCCCAGATCGTCATATATTCAGTCATATACTGACTTTGTGGATATGTAGATAACGAGGTCATTGGATATTACATCAATGGCTTGAAAATCCCGGAACATGTTACCTTGGTAAGTACTGTAAACCAACCTCTCCAAGAACTAATTTTGATCCGTCACCCTAGCTTTGGCCTGACGATAAGTGGGCATAACACATTCAATACAAGGAGCCTCCGCTGACGAGGTCTTAGCTGGGGAGATGTTCGTCGTTATCCAACGATGGACGAGCGCAATAGGACAGGTGGATCCGGTGTCTACTACCACGTTTGTATCATTCGTTTACACCCGCCTCATGTCGTTTACGAAGGTTTCTCTTGGTGACAGGTGGACCTGGTGAGACTTAACAGTTGCTTAAAATGATCATTCTTACTGATAATCCCAGGTTGGAGATCCTAGATGCTACAAATGGATTATTGTGCGTTCTCCCCCATAACATTCCAACCACGCCTTCAAAGCTGACAATCCATAGAGCAGTCAAATCTCCAAGGTGTGTAACTACCTTCCGTTCGTCTTATAAATGGCCTAATTATGTTCATTCCCAGATATACGAACAAATGTCCCTCGCAGTTGACCGTAATGCGACTAGGATATGGATTCTAAATGTCGGCGACCTGAAACCCTACGAACGTGAAACCGAATTTTTCCTTAACCTGGGATGGAACGCGACGAGATGGAATCCTGACAACGTTCGCAGCTTCGTCACGTCGTGGGCTCAGCGCGAGTTTCAGATCACAGATGACGGAGCAGAACTCGTTGCGGATATTATCGGTAACCTGACTAGGTTTAACGCCAGGAGAAAGCCGGAAATTCTGACTTCCACAACGTACAGTTTAACTAACTATCGAGAGTAAGCTTGCGGTTTCCTACTTTATGAATTTGGCTGACTGTTTTCAGGGCAGAAAACATGGTAGTGGCGTGGGATCGGCTTCTGAATGCCTCCACAACGATCTACGACAGCTTGTCCGAGGATAAACGACCTGCGTTCTTCCAACTGGTTCACCACCCCGTGTCGGCCAGTAGCAATCTAGGAAGAATGTATATCTCCGCAGGCCAGAATAATTTGCGAGCATCTCAGGCTAGGCTGAGTGCCAATGCATTTGGAGACCAGGTTGAAGAGTTGTTTGAGAAGGATTTCGAGTTTGAGGATCAATATCATACAATGTTGGATGGCAAATGGAACCAGTAAGTGGCCCTGTGCTTTCAATGAGCGTGACCCTGTACTCAGCGTACTAATCTAGCATGATGGATCAGACTCGTGGGTTATTCAAAAAACTACTCCTTCATGCCGACTGACGGATTTTAACAGACATCGGATACGCTTACTGGCAGCAACCAATGACGAATTCGTGAGAGTAATCTACAACAACATTACGTGGGTTGATAGCTGACATCTATCTAGGATGCCGATGGTGACTAGAGTTCAAGCCAGAAAGCAAGCTTTACCTGGTGTTATGAGACTTTCGCCTGAAGGTACGATGGCTGCTTGGTAAGTCAAACTCGATTCGAAAGACTTCCATTCCCTCCCTGACACTTCATTTAGGCCCGGTGATAACCGCTACCAGTGTCCAAACGGTTATGATTGTGGTAATGCAACGTTCACCTTTGATTCCTTTAGCCCCATATCGGACCGGTACGTTGATGTTGGCCACGGAGGAGGAACTACATCATTCGACTTCACCGTAACCTCCAACGTCAGTTGGTTACATATATCCAACACGCAGGGATCTCTATCGCCTGAAAATACCGAGAAGAGAATCTTCGTATCTGTTCCCGATTGGGGTGCTCTCGCAGCCGGCCCCAATGCTGCCCTGGTCACCTTCAATGCTCAGCCGACGAACCAAACCTACTCTTTCACATATTTGATTAACAGTACCAAAGCCGATCTGCCTCCGTCGTTCACAGGTTCGTTTATCTATCTCCTCCCACAGTGACTTAGAGCTTAATTCATCACATAGGCTTCGTGGAATCAGCTGGCGTGGTTTCTATCGAAGCAGCTCATGCTAGCCGAAATACGTCCGTTGACGGCGTGAGCTGGAAAGATCTTCCTGGGATAGGACGTACTTTGTCAGGGGTGACGCCTTGGCCAAGAGGTGGAAAAGACGCTAATTTTACGGCTGGTGCAGGGCCTTCAATGTGCGTTATTCGTCTTGGCTTCCTTCGTTATCTCTTACAAATTCACAAAAATAGTGAATATGACTTTTACACATTCACCGGCGGAAACCTCACTGTCACAGTTAACGTATCACCATCTTTGAATGCTAATGGACGAGATAGGCCTTTGGCGTTTGCCGCCCAGATTGATGGGACAAGTGTCCAGTCGTCTTACTATCTACCGTTGGCGACGCCTGGGTACGAGCCGCCTCAATGGGGAAGTCTCGATGGATGGGCAGCAAATTCCATTATCAGTCCCAAGTTGACTTTTAGAGGTGTTTCGAAGGGTGCTCATACGCTGAAGGTACGTATCCTCGTTGCTTGTATGTGAACTGCGGTTGAGATGCCTCCGACAATAGGTATTCATGATTGAACCAGCAGTGATTGTGCAGAAGATCATCATTGGTGTGTCCAGTTACTGTCTGTAGGACATCGTGGCTGACCGAAGCCTTCACAGATGCGGGTGTTGGTGGGTTACAACCTAGTTACCTTGGACCGCCGGAGAGTATTTTCGTGCAGGGCTCTCAGTAGAATTGAGAATGTAGTTCGTCTCGTAGTTGACGTCGCCCAAGTAGCACAATGGTAGTGCGTTGCTTTCCTATGTTACTTGACCTAAGAAGGCAAAGGTTGTGGGTTCGATCCCCATCTTGGGTTCTAGGGAGGTCGCTTGGCTCTTTTTGTAGCTGGTGAATAGACGATCAAACCTGTGCGAAGCCGTCTGCGGACTGGCATGAAGTGACCTCATAGCCGTACATCGAGCGCTGAGAAACACTACTGCGCAAGCACTTGCCGCTTGACCTTGTACTTTACACACGTATTTCACCCAATACCCTAATCCCTATCTCCTGGGTATGTCCCCCAATTCCTCCTCCTCAGACCGGACCCTCTGCGGAACCATCGAAGAAGCCAAATTCGTCGCTCGAGAAAACAGAGAACAGAGACTCCAAAAACCGCAACCATGGTTGGCTCGAAAACTCATCGTATTCTTTACCATTGGGATCATGGGCTACGCACTTTATATCTACATCGTTAGATTCTGCATCCAGCAAGGGCTTCAAAGACGACAACTGGGTATTGGAAAAGGAGGTATTGCAGGGCTGATAGTGGGTTTTGGGATATTGTGGTTTTGGATGGTTTGGGGGTACGCAATGGTGCGTTGTCTGCCTTCCAAGCACTGATTAGTACTTTACTGATCGTCTGAGAAGGTCATCTTTGTATCCCCTGGGTTTGCGAAGCATGTGCGTCTTCAAGTCTGACATCTGCACTCGGCATGTTCGTTTATCTCACCACTTTGTTTGCAGTATGTGCAACCTTCACCGCCCCCTTTTGTCGCACCACCGGTTGCCCCGGGTCAGATGATGCCTATGGAGGAGCGACATGGAATAGCAGGTCCCTCGTATGAGGAACAGTCGAACCATGCTCACGAAACGACCACGGTCACGACGGTAGAGAATAAACCACCGGAGAACGCAGGGATGCTCGACTCAATACGACCACCGAATCCAGTTGCTCTACCGAATGGATACGGATATTTGCCTCCACCGGCTCCAGCATTAAGTACAGCCCAAGCCGCAGCACCGGAATCTATACCCAAGAATAAGTCAACACCTAGCTCACGCAAGGAAGCTCGTCGGCAAGCGGCGATACAGAAAGCCCTTCAGAATGGTGCTTATCGACGACCGCCAAATCTCGGGTCGCCGGTGCTGAAGCCAGAGTATCGGTATTGGTAGGTCTCTCAGATGGTTTTAATCCCAGCGCAAGGCTAACCTAGGAATAGTTCGAAGTGCATGTTTATCAAGCCACCTCGGACACATCATTGTCGGGCCTGTGGGACCTGCGTTCTACGATACGATCACCATTGCCCTTGGATTGGCGGATGTGTCGGTGCGAGGAATCATAAGGTACGTCTTGCATTCTCAGCCTTCTACTCTATCTAACCAGAACCAAAACAGTACTTCATGAACTTTACGTTTGCAACGTCGATATTCACCGCCTATACATTATCAACCCTTCTCGGATTTTCACTGCGCTCGCCAGACTCGCCTCTGAACCGTGGTGATATCGATCCACAGGTCCTTCTCATCGTTGTCTTCAGCGCCCTTTTCTGGCTGTTTACTACCTTGCTATGCGCGTCCCATGTGCTACTTACGTTGAGGAATCAAACGACTGTGGAGAATTTAGGATTTAGAAGCCAGACAGAGAGAGAAGACGCCCAGTTAGCGAGGGTGTTTGGGTTTTGGGGATGTGTACCGAGAGCGGCGGTGAGGAAGAGTTGGGATAAGGAGTATGGGAGAGTTGGGAAGTAAGTCGTCGTTCTTCGTATCCTATGTTTGCTTTTTGTCTCATGGTTCGGCAGGGAGAACAACATATGGTGGTTGGGTTCAGAAGGTGAACCTTTCGATTGGGAAGCGTTCTACGAGTTGATGGGTACGCCCAAGCCGTCAAAGACGAACCCGTGGGGCTGGGCGGCGTGGGTGTTTCCGTTACCGTTGAGAAAGGGAGACGATTGGGGGTTGAACTTCAAGAGGAATGACAGGTTTGATGAGACAGGTGCTTGGGTAGGGAGGAGAATATGATTTGATTGGACTGGTATGTATATATGATGCTGTGATTTTGAATGTACTACTAGGTCAAAAAGACGTGCATGACCAGCTGTATTTGTGAGAACCCAAGATGGGGATCGAACCCACAACCTTTGCCTCCAGCAGAGTAGGAAAGCAACGCACTACCATTGTGCTACTTGGGCGTTGCAAATATGGTGATCTCCAACAGATACAAGTCGCCAGTGGCCGCGGCCGTAACGAGAGCTTTGCGAACCGCCTGTCTCCCGAACTCTCACCACAACGCCAAATCCCGTACTCTAGTTGGATTACCTTCCATCAAGCGAAAAACTTTCTAGTCTTCTTTTTCTCAATGTTAATGTCGTCAAGATCGTCGATGACGCTTATTGGTCCTCAGTCTATCTTGACTGAAGCGCTAAAGGCTAGGAGCTAGAGTGGTCCTATGCATGCTCACCCCTGTTTAGAACGAAGGCGAAATACCTCCGGCCGGAACAGCTAAAACGCTTCACCTTCTATACCCGCTACCGCTATAATACCTTGACAAACTTCAAGATGATTATGCGTCCATCCGAGACGGAAGTCTCATGTGCTCATTGAACGGGAATGGACGATCGAGATTACAGGCTAGACGTATTATAAAGTGCGTCGATATGAGTCGACATAGGCTCTATTCTTACATGCTGCCCATGGAAAGTCTCCTCAAGAGCACCCTCGTCTTCCTGACGGGTATATTTTTTGGTGTCGCCTTCACACCTCCGAATGGGGACCCGAAGATTGCTCCTCGTCCTCCGCTGGATAAAGGGTTCACTGCACAACGCGAGTGGTCCTTTGTCTGGCTCATAGCTAGGATCTTACCGCTTATGAGGGTCAGTATTGCTTGTCATCCTCTTAGTATCTATCTAATCCATGATCTCAGCTTTCGTGCTACATTGCCACCACGAACGAGTGTCTGTTCATCCTTTCCTCTGCGTACCCTTCGGTACTACCCCTTTTCTACCGCACTTCATCCTCACAATTCATAACCTTCCCCTTCCTCCTCGGCGCTCTCCTTACGATCTGCGGTGGAACTCTCCGTATATTGTGCTATCGTGCTCTTGGTGCCGGTTTTACCTTCGAAATGGTGCAAGCTGGAAAACGCTCCAAAACTGTCGAGTTGGCTCAGAACCCCAAGCTCGTCACTCATGGTCCTTACTCTATCGTTCGCCACCCTTCATACGTCGGTTCATGGATGTGTTGGATTGGGTTGAGTCTTGTACAACTAGACCAGGGGTCATGGATCCGTGAAAGTGGTTTCTATGACCACAGTTTGTTCGGGAAGGCTCTCGTATGGGTATTGGAGATAATCATGGCGTTTGGAATGGTCAATCTGTTGGTTAGGGTGGAGCCTGAGGATAAAATGATCCATAAACAGTTTGGGAAGGAGTGGGAGGAATGGGCGAAGAGAGTTAGGTGGAAGATGATTCCAGGAATTTACTGATCTAGACATGCGTTCTGCGCACCTTTGAAATGTATTATATTCATCTTGTCATGAACTTTGATTAGACTGTTTTTCGTTTTTGTCTACCGTCCAGAAAGTGTTAGCGCCCATGAGAGAATGCGGCGCCTGTTCTGCAATCAATCCGTTGAACGTTGATTTCCACCGCCATCACCAACACCCTCGAACCTCTCTCTCTCGTTCTGAGACCAGCTAGTTGAACTATAGCCGCCTATGGAAGGTCTATATAGGTAAAAGGCATCCTCTGAGCTTCTAAAATTTGCGTTGACACGTCTACCAGCACACCAGCAACGAATTTCTCAAGGAGCCAGTCTATAGAGAGCATCAGATCCAGTTAGACGATGGTGACACCAAAAGTTTCGCGAAGGCTACCCTACCGTCCCTGTGAGTCACCTTCTGCAGAAATGCCAATGATCTGACCTTTAGGCGCAGAAATTACCCTTCACACCCCCGGTACACGACACTTTTGCGGACACTCGACTGCTCAACATCAGTTTCCAGCGTATGACGGCGTTGTCTTCATGAACGAAGGCTCGTCTGTTCCAGTCGGTACCGTAGGAAAGAAATCATACCACGGTCGAATTGATGCATGCGGAGTCTGAACGTAGAAGATGATACCTGGAGGGGTGTTCTCTTTAACATGGTCATTTTTGCTCTCGATACCGCATAAACGGTCTTACTCAGGAGCGGCCACGTAGCTGAACAGGGTTTCGTACTACAGAGGTATGTTTCTCTTTCTTGCATTCAGATGGCCTATGTGAACATTCTTCATTAGTGTAGTGTCATGTAATATTTCACTGCCCACAAGGCATGGTGTTCGCACAAGAACATTCTTCGCATCAGGAACCTCCATCCTCAATCCATCTTCGTCAACTCGCCGAGATTAAAGCTTTACAGGTCTTCGATTACATGCTACTGAACGACCGTACCAGAATTTTCGCTGGGTATCTTACCTTACAATACTCAACCTACTGAAGGCTAATCGTCGACGATGCAGAATCTTACAGAATCCGATGTTATCCCGGTGTCCTCATGAAGCTCAAACGTCAGTAAAACTGAATTGACCCTTGGGGTAGCCACTAGTGAAATGAAATGACTCGCGAGGTACAACATAATCATTCCTCGGAACTCTTGGTTCACCAATTTAAACATTCAACCCAAGGTCACCCCGTACACATGCTCAAGCACGGTCGGTGCCCGAAAGTTACAGAAGATAGCCACAGACATCGAGATAACCACCGTCTTGACACTCAGCGTCAAGGACTCAGGGACGTCTCGTTTGTCTCAATTTCAAAACCAAAAGTTCTTAGCAACCGTGGTGTTGCCTCGGCGACACAATTGCAAAGCGGTGCTACATACGTCATTCTCAAGTACCTGATGCCACCGTTCTCAACTATGTAGGCCCTAGTTCCCTCAGGTTGTCGAGATAAGTTTATGCTAAACACATTGCGAGTCAGAACTCTTCAAGCTGGACATCATGCGACCTTCAGAACATCTTAATCATAGCGAGCCTTGTCAGACTTAGTGGATAGTACTCGGTGATACTTGGTCGCTTTCTGGATGCTTTGCCACTCACAAAATGACTATTTTTAGTACTCATCACTGGAACCTCATGCGTTAGCTGCATCGCGGTTTTCACGGCTACCTTGAAATTCTGTGAGCAGGTACGTTGGTATGTCTTTTTTTCCGTGCAAAGCTCACATGGACGCAGGCATTTTCGGACTAACTGTGTACGTCAAGATTACCTTGCATCAGCCATGATCTTTTGCATATTCAACCATTTGCATCTACGCGACGCAGTACCCCATTCTCTGGCGCAAGCGGGCCGCCTCTTGTCCCTTGCCCTACCGAGCCGCTACAAGCACTCTTCCTCACCAATACATATTCTTCTCTTGCGCATATACGCTTTGTTTACATCTTCGTCGTCCAAAGGCGTCCTCGTAAACGGTCCTGGCAGTGGGATGAACCAAAACCATACGTAGCCCTTGTCGCGAAGCAACATGACTGACATCAGGACCCGGCTATATCAACAACGCGTATGGTTCCCCTCGATTTCAATCACATCGGAGTTATTCTCTGCCCTGGGTCTCCCTTCTCGCTTTCGCTGTATGTTTTTGTGGTACGCACGATTGCCCGCCGGCCTTACCATAACGATAGTGACATATGGGAACGTTCTCTTATAAAAGGCAGAAGACCAATGCATTTTTGGATCTTCATCGGACTCCTCTTTCAGTTGAAACGCTGAATCATTGAAACGATGCATTCAACTTCCCTATTCTTTGCTGCCCTTGCCCTTGGCGCTAGCTTTTCATCTGCCTCACCTTCGCCCTTGTCTGCCCGTGCAGGCTGCACCGGTACCATCGCATCTTTGGATGGCGAGTGCCGCTGGACACTTGTGAATGCTCTAAACTGACCATGAATGACAGATGTCGCCGCAGCGGTTAAATGCCAAACAGTGGTCATCAAGAGTTTCACAGTCCCAGCCGGGAAGGCTCTTGAACTGAACCTGGTCCAGGGCGCGACAGTCAACATGGGTGAGTAGTAACTCTTTGCTCCTCCGAGTGCTTGTAGGTCAACGATGAAATTGCTAGAGGGAGACGTAACTTTCGGCGTCAAGAACTGGGATGGGCCACTGTTCGTTGTCAGGTATGTTCTTGTAAGTTTCTGCCGTGCGCGTGAAACCTTCTAACAAATGTTGCTGTAGCGGTCAAGACATAACATGTGGGCGCGATTCCCTCAGACACTTACGTTCTAATTAAATATGTCACCGCAGTCAATGGTAACGGGCACAAATTCGATGGTAATGGCCCGGAATACTGGGTACGTGGCTTAAACATTGTGGACGACTATAGCTCCTGCTCAATACCACTCTCAGGATGGATTAGGATTGAACGATGGCGTCACCAAGCCCGCTCCTATGATGAAGTTCGTCTCATCTTTCTCTTCCTCGGTTTTCGACAGTACCTGATCTTTTTCCAGGATCAAAATTTCCGGGACTTACACAGATGTCGTCGTCGTGAACGCACCGGCACGAACTTACTCCGTCTCCAACCCAGCGCCCTTGTTGATGACCTCTCTCACTATCGATAATTGTCGGCATTTATTTCTTCATCATTAGAACCTGAGGTAGCTCACACCGTGTCCTAGCTGAGGGTGACAAACCCAATTCACAAAGCAATGGAAAGGCAGCGGGTCACAACACCGATGGCTTCGACTGTAGCACCCAGGACTTAGTTATCTCCAATAGGTGAGGCACACCAAGTTATCCTGATGCATACCCAGTTTTTGACCAGTCTTTCAAGTATTATTCACAATCAGGTAGGACTCGATGTCACCAGCTACTTGAACTACACTCACTCCGCATACAGGACGACTGTTTGGCTATCAACAAGGGCTCCAACATCACATTCACAGGAAACACGTGCACTGGTGGACATGGAATCTCAGTCGTGCGCTCAATTTCTCGCTCTATATCTGCTTCCCCGCTCAGGTTTCTCTAGGGGTCTATCTCAACTGGCGCTGTTGTCAAGGACATCCATATCACCGACAACAAAATCATCGACAAGTACGTTTGCTTTCGGCTGTGCTCTTCGTGAGGCTGACTTTCGATCTTTCAATTCTGTAGCGATCAAGCTCTTCGAATTAAAACAAAGGCCAGTGCAACGGACGCTTCCGTCTCTGGCATCACCT